CAAAATGTAGCATGGTAACTTAGTGTTAGTTTGCTTATGTATTGTTTGATACATATGAACAATGAGCTCAAGAGGACTTTATTTATCTACTGTTGTATACTTCAATATCACCTGTGGATATGCCTTTGAATGTCCACATCTAATTGCTTTATCATCCCCAACATCCAGGATACATAGATGGGGAATGCCATTGCTCAAAGGCGAGCATACGTGACCTTGTTGAAGGAGTTTTGCCCTCCGTTTGTGTCTCAAATGTCGATGATGCCCTCTGTGCTATCACTCGCATGTCCTTTTTATTTTGTTTATTCAGCGAATGTTGGATTAGACAAGGATTTATTCACGTTGGATCTGTACAACTATGGACTATTCATGCAATTTTTTATTCAAACTTTGAAATGAGAGAATTGGATGCTGGGTTGTTGCATGTTTTTTCTTGATGTTAGATTATCTATTGCCATTTTTATGTGTTCTGAACTGGTGCATAGGCTCTTGCTTTTGAGTGATCAGTTTTTGCTATGTCTATTGCCTATATATCATGACGGCTCTTCCCTGAAGGAGTACCATCTCTATATTAACTTTTTTGTGTTTGTAATCTTTTTATACTTAAAATACTTCAACGGTTGTATAAACAGATTGAACATGACCAGGCCCGACAGCTATGCTGCCGGGTGCGGCAAGCCGCACTTCCTATCTGGTAACATAGATTACCAAGCTTCGTTCGTGCCTACCTTTTCTCCGGTACGCATACTATGCACTTTCCTGCCTACATTTCCTCTGGTATATTCTAGAGTTTGCGTAGCTTTATATAGCGCTTTAGTTTCTCGTCACGGTGGCAGGGTTCGCACCAACGAAAGCTACCCAATTCCCCTCTCGTAAAACTCATAAGACTTTGAAGATTTCAAGTTATTAGTCTCCCCTTTTTGTCTTAAAATACTGCAAGTGTACAACTGTCTACTCGTGTTTGTCTCTATCAACTGGATGTATAAATTCTCGTCTACTATCTCATGGTAGATTACCTTTTCTCTAGTACTCCCTCCGTCTGAAAATACTTGTCATCAAAATGGATAAGAAGAAATGTATCTAGAACTAAAATATGTCTAGATACCCTCTTTTATCCATTTTGATGACAAGTATTTTCGGACTGAGGGAGTATAATACTGCATGGAGTCTCCTATCCACATTTTATATCTAGTCTAAGCATCTACAACCTGACCTCACATATCATCCTCAAACTTCGGACGAACGGCCCGACCAGTGACCGTCATGAAAAATGCGACCCAACCGCACCACTCAAATCCAACTCATATTTGGGACGGATATAGGGTATTTGTCACACCGGGTCTGACAAAGAGAGCGCATCCCAAATCCCTCCAAATTAATATAGTCCATCAAATCAATCTTTCACCCCCGCGTATGTCCCTCATTTCCTATGGTCGAGCTATCGTCGTCATCCACCTTTGCTCACCGCCTGTCGTTGTAGATGTTGTCGCCAAGTACACCGCCGCCCTCGTCCGCTGTCGTAGATGTCGCGTTGAGAATTCCACCCCTCACCGCCGACATGGATGATGCCTTGGTGGAGTCAGTGGGGGTTACCGGGTTAGTTGCAAGGCGGAGAACGTCGTCCGGAGTGAGCGGCGCGCCCGACATTGCAAGCAGGAAACTGCGACCAAGGAGGTGGCCCACATTGAAGTGGCTTGGGGCGAAGGAAAAAAAGATCAACACACCCAAAGAAAGCGTGACCGCAGTCGCGAGCGCCGAATGATTCATTCTTGTATCGCCTATCTATAAACCGTCATATATTATTCTGGCATGTCTTGAATTGTTGAATTATGTTTTTTTTCTATTTTGTTGCATTGTTGAATCGATGATGAATCCATGCTATATGATGGACGTGCATGAAATTGCATGGATTCGAGAGTTTGGATAGGAGAGGAGTGGCTGTGCGAGGGGCCATCCAATCCAATTATGGATGCTCAAAACATAGAGTTCCCTGGCTACACATTTTCTAGCCTAATCTAGAGTTTGCTTAGCTTAGTCTCTACTCCTAATGTCTCAGTTGGTAGGTCGCATTCCGGGTTTTATTTTCGTCCCACCTCACCCGGTCTTTTTTGGTACTTCTTTGGTACTTGCTCCCACCTCCCGCTCAGCCGAAACGGTTTATTTTCGTACTCCCTCCCACCTCCCAGGTAGTTCCCTCCACACACAAAAAATCGAACCAACCAATCTCTACTCCTAATGGAGCAGTTGGTAGTCTTCGCCGGTCAATTTTCGTCCCATCACTTTCGTCCGGGGTTTTTTTCGTAGGTTAACTGTCGTAGATTTTTTTCGTCGCCTCCCCCACTTCATCGGTTTATTTTCACTTCACCCTCTCACACAACGAAAAAATCTGAACGGATCAGAACTTTTCATACTGACGCAAATTATTTAGTAATGTCTTTATGTAAAAGAATCAATCACAATCGATCTCTAAAGATCAAATCTAAATTAATTAATCTTCATAACGTTTGTTTCCTTTCGAATCACGTCCATAACTTTCCTTCCTTGTTTGGGCAGAAACTGTTTGGTAGCAGAGATTAGGAAGCTTCCTATGAGTGTAGTAATAGGAAGTATTCTTTTTCTTGATGATTCGTTTCCATGCATGATGATAGTAAATTATGCCAACATTCACCACTATTTATCAATGTCATCAATCGTATCCATTTCTACCAGTTTTAAGGGAATCTGCTCGCTATGTCTTTTTTAAGGGGATCCGCTCGCTAAGTCGTCGTCGCATGTTATTTTCACAAACAATCTCTACTCCTAATGGAGCAGTTGGTAGCCTCGTACGGTTTATTTTTGTCCTCCTCCCACCTCCCCTGGTTTTTTTTCATCCTCTCTCCCACCTCCCAATTTTGTTGGTTTTTTTTGTCGGTTTTTACTTGCCCCCTCCCACCTCCCAATTTCGTCCGGTTTTTATTCGTCCCACCTCCCACCACCCCCTCGTACTGGTTCTTTTTCTCTCCACTCTTTCCTTGCAAACCAATAATTTCCTAACATACAAAAGATCACGAATCTATCTTTCCTTACCCGAACCAATCGCGCCCTACATCAGTGCATTTCTTTATTAAGAAAACTAACACGTAAATCTTAACGCATTGCAAACAAATCCCGTTGTGGACCTAATTAATTTATTATGGAATCTATACGTGGTCGCATTGGTTCTTTTTCTCTCCACTCTTTCCTTGCAAACCACTAATTTCCTAACATACAAAAGATCACGAATCTATCTTTCCTTATCCGAATCAATCGATCCCTACATCAGTGTATTTCTTTATTAAGAAAACTAACACGTAAATCTTAACGCATTATAAAGAAATCCCGTTATGGACCTAATTAATTTATTATGGAATCTGTACGAGGTCGCATCTCTCCCCTCGTGAAAAAATCGCATCCATCTCCCGTTAAAAAGGAAAAGAGAACATGAACGATCAATCCCACACCCTGCATCTCAGTAGCAAAAAATCTCCCCCGCCTCTGCTACTGCGCCTCGTCGTGTGCCCGGCTCGACCCATGCCTCGCCTGCATGGCTGGACGCCGCCGTCTCCACCGCCACGTACAAGAAAACGGTGGGCAGAACCATCCATTCAAATCGCACACCCCCACCCTCCTCCGCAATCCCTAGCCCTGCATCACCCTATCGCTTTCTCGCCTCTCTTTCCCCTCGATGTAGATGGTGCCGAGCGGCGGCCTCGAGCACCGGCAGTGCCGCCCTCTCTATCTTTGCTGCGTCGAGAGATGGGCCGAGGCTATCGTCGGTTCACCGCCCACGATTGGGCCGCCTCCGGTTGTCGCGCACCATCGGCTCCACCTAACGTGCCCGACCCTCTCCGCTTTCGACCTTCCGGTGACCACATTCCTCCGCGCCTCCATCCATCATCCACAAGGCCACTCCCTGCACCCACCCTCCTAAATTCTCCATACCGGCGGACAATCACCGAAGATCCAAGTTGGCTCGATATCAATTTTCTTACATGCTTTCTTTATCAGTTGGTGATGGGAATGGGTTCCAATTTCTCTCCCTGACTGTGGATTCGCAGGCAAGAAGCGCTTCTACATGCATCCTCCTGTCGGTCCCTAAAGTACCAAGGTAAATGGTTGATGTTGCGTTTGTCTAGGATGATATATGTTGGCTCTGTTCCGGTTCATCCGAGCAGTTTGGTGACTAATTTACTGATAATTTAATTATATTAATTAAATGAGTCGGGTGTATCGTCGTGCATTTATCTTGCCAGTAATGTTCTGTGATGCTCTGATGCACTTTGGGAATTGGTTATCTTGTCTTCAGTGCAGAACATTTGTTTATTAATGCATGAGAAGAATCCTTGTTACTACCTTGAACCTGTTTTATAATTCATATTGTTATGCACTAGCGCGTGTGCGTGTGAAATAGATGGATTATGGTCCCGTACCCAATAAGATGGATATGTGTGTGTGTTAGAGAGAGAGAGAGAGGGAGAGGGGGAGAGAGAGTGAGGAGGGAGGGAGAAAGTGTGTGTGAGCATTTGATGGTAAAAAGGTCGTCAATGTCACTTGATATGTATGAGAATATTAAATGTAATATTAACATAATTGATATTGAACTCTTAAAATTAATGTGGCCCCGTTACAACGCACGGGTGTTCTTCTAGTGCTCTATTAGTTTCTCAATCACATCGTGGTGCCGGTAGGGCCTGGCACCGACGAAAGCCCCACCGAATTCCTCTCCGAAAACTCCCAAAGCTGAATTATTAAAGGTGAGCTGCATCACACCGCCACGATTTCGGGAAGGCGCAGGGGCTCCACTGCATTTTGTCTTCCCCCGAGCCCGAGCCCGAGCCGAGGGAGGAGAAAACAGCCCGAGACAGTGCAAGCCGTCCACCTCCGCGGCCCGCCCCCCCTCTCTGTCCTCTCCTTGTGGCCTCCCACGCCCCGCATTCCCCCATCCCCCTCCCCCAGATCCGGCCGCCCGACGCCGCCGGCCGATGGCCGCGGACGCCGCCGCCGCAGGGCCCCGCCGGTGGCGCTGCGAGGAGGAGGAGCAGCAGCCGCACCGCCTCTCGGCGGCCGCCGCGGCCGACGACCGCTTCGACGGCCTCCCCGACCCTCTGCTCCTCCTCATCTTCAACCGCATCGGCGACGTCAAGGCGCTCGGCCGCTGCGCGCTCGTCTCCCGCCGCTTCCGCGCCCTCGTGCCCCTCGTCGACTCCGTGCTCGTCCGCGTCGACTGCGTCATCCCCGACGACCCCGCCTCCTCCGGCTCCCCGTCCTCCTCCGCGCCGTCGTTCCCCACCGCCACCGCCTCCGCCCGCGCGCGCGGCGTCTTCTCGCAGATCGCGCGCATGCTCATCGGCGGCATCGTCAAGCCCATCCAGGCGCTCGGCCAGATCCTCTCCCACGCCGGCTCCGCCTCCGCCTCCCTCTCCTCCTTCCGCCGCTCCGCCTCCTCCTCGCTCTCGTCCTCCTCGGCGTCGGCGCCCCCCGGCGACGTCTCGCACCACTCGCCCTCCGAGGTGCTCCGCTCCTTCAAGGAGCTCCGCAGCCTCCGCATCGAGCTCCCCGCCGGCGAGCTCGGCATGGACGACGGCGTGCTGCTCAAGTGGAAGGCCGACTTCGGCTCCACGCTCGGCAGCTGCGTCATCCTCGGCGCCGCCTCCGCCTCTGCCACCAAGGACGGCACTACGGCCGCACCTCCTCCTGCTGCTGCTGATTGTGCCGAGTCTGACGATTCAGGGAGCATACCGGAGTCCTTCTACACCAACGGGGGGCTTAAGCTGCGGGTGCTGTGGACCATCAGCTCGTTGATTGCGGCGTCGGCCCGGCATTACCTGCTGCAGCCCATCATTGCCGACCACGCGTTGCTGGAGAGCCTGGATCTGACGGACGCCGATGGGCAGGGCGTGCTCACCATGGACAAGTGGCAGCTGCAGGAGCTACGGGTCAGGCCAGTATCAGCATCTGGTGACTCGCACCGCACGCTCATGCCGGCCCTTAGCATGCGGTTGTGGTATGCGCCGCACATTGAGCTGCCTGGGGGCACGGTCTTGAATGGAGCAACACTGGTGGCCATCAAGCCGAGCGAAGAGGCAATGATGGACGCAGTTGGGAATGCAACTGCTGGGTCGGCAGGTGGATCCTGGGTTTCAGATGCCTTCGAGGAGCCATATCGGACGGCCGTCGGTGTGCTTCTCAAGCGGAGGATGTATAGCCTTGAGATGAACTCATTCTAAGCTATGGAGGGAATGCCATTCCAGAAGTTTCATCTGTGAAAGGTAAATTTCACACTGCATTCGGTCCAATATTTGTCTGATTATTTAGTTTTGCCTCTAAGGACTGACTCAACCTTATTTTGCACAATTGTGACACTATCATCACCAGCTCACCACCATTGTGATGCATTGTAGATTTGTAGCCAACGTAGTTAGAAAGTTTAAGATTTGAGTGTTAGTCGGAATGTTGGATTTAGGTTTACCTTGTGTTAATATTTTGGTTATTTCTTGTAAGAAGCAAATTATTGTAAACCAATCATCGAATTAGTGTGTACTTGTATGGAGTTATTGTGAAGCACTTGTTTTGGCTATTGTATATAGTAGTTCTCCCTTTAAATATTCAGTTTTGGTTCCAAACTCAATTTACATGAGTACATTGCTAGACTGAGTGTACAACCATACAATGAACGTCAATTTGAAATCATACTTCTCATGAACATTATGAACTCTGGTAATATGTTATTGCACAAATCCTGAAAGAGTATCGGAGTTTGAACAGGCTCCTAGATTCATGATTCAGCAGTGATGTGTTTGGTGTTTGTTACTTAAGTTTTTTTTGGTGATGGTGATAAGCCAGTAACCTTCATATAAACTTGAATGAAATAATTCAATTCGTAAGATCAGCAGGTGGTTTGCCAAATCATTATTCCCGGTCACTTTCTTCCTTTTTGCGACATTGGAAAATTATGTTAGCACTGATCATCATTCATCAGTGATGCATGAAATAGATAATTCTGTTTGGTTTGCCTGTGGCGCTTAATTTATGAGGTGTCAATTCTTCTTCTGAGTTCTGACTCTCGAAAATTTAACTGACTGACCAAGTTGAATCCCACATATAAGAATGTCCATCTTTCCAGCAAGAAGCAGACAGGTTTAGCTGGCTAGCTTTCTTTGCTATGCCTAATATCTTGCATTTTCTTATGTACAAACACCAATATCTTCCCGCAAACTGTCGTTTTCAGCTGCTTTACCATTTTGATAAGAGCTGTACTCTGCACTTCATTAAGAACCATCTTTCCAATTATTACTTTGGACTTGTGCAATTAAGGAATAGGAAATAAAGAGAGGGGGTGGTGGAGCTTTGGGGAATGCTAGGGGCTAAGGGTTAGCGGAAGGCAAGTGTGGTTTGAGAAAAGTAAAATGCTGTGCCCCAACCTGTACTTTCGGGATGTATTATTTCTACCCATTATGATAAAAGTTGTACTGCGTGCTCTTTAAGGATCATCTGTTCCATTACTACTTTTGAATTGTGCAGTTAAGGTAGGAAAAAAAGGAGAAATGTTTAGAAGTCTTGATGCTAGGCTAGTCAAAGGAAAGTGTGCTTTCTGGGACAAAAGACGATCTTCTTAATTGCGTTGGTTACCAACTTACCATCATGTGTATCTGCCGGTATGGCCCAACATGCTGTGTACTTTAGTCATAGAATTAGGTACTTGCTATGCATAGCCCAAGCACATATGAGGAATCTTCCGCATTTATCCATCTAAATTGGTTAGTTCCGCTTCAAGTATTTTCGCTCAGGAGAAGATGAGAAGGTGGATGGGCCACTTAAAATGTAGGATCCACTTAGTTATATATAGGCTGTAGATTTCAATAGTTTCTGGTCGATTTATAATGCCATAAAACTCAAATCTGTTTAATGTAATGTGCAGTTGTACACTAATTAACTAATGTGCAGAAGGCTATATGGAAAGCTAGTCAATGGAAGCTGTAATAACTTTGTACTCCCTCTGTCCCATAATATAAGAACGTTTTTGACACTACACTAGTGTCAAAAACGTTCTTATATTATGGGACGGAGGGAGTAACTGTGAAGCCCCTTCACTCTTCATAGCATTTTGCTGAAATATTTCACGTTCCTGTCTGTTTTCAGGTTTATTCTGTTCTCTCACGAGGTGCAACTTGAGCAATGGAGTCGAAGTTCTCTGGCTGCCTATTTTACTCCAGCCTGCACCTACCTGAGAGACTCGGACAAGTAGTTAGTAATGTGTGAACGAGGAGAAAAGCTGTGTGCATCCTTCGGGCCCGTGCGGAACCTCTCAACTCGTCGATGTTGGAGCTGCTAGACAAGTCATCGTTGAGCCTGCTGGCGGCCGTCCCTCCAAGGAAGCCCTTGCCTACGTCGGATGTGGCGGCATTACGGGTGGATCTTCGTTGTATGTATGGATCCTCGCGAAGCTGGTGCTAACACCATGTCGATTTCTCGCTTCGGATTGTAGCTCTTTTTGGGAAGGAAGTTTGCAGCGTTCTGTAGCATGAGATGTACATGAGTATCTGCAGGTTCGTTTCTAGTCTGAACTTGCAGACCTTTCGTAAATGTTCACTTGGAAACAAGGGCTAATGTAGTGGTACAATGCTGTGTGTTGAGTGCTGAAGCATTTCTATGTCGATGCTGCTGCTGAGAGCATGTCTTATTCGCAGTTGGTATTTCGGCCTTGACTTTATTCTTCTTTTGCTGTTTTATGTGTTTTTGTTTGTCTGTGGGATATTTTTTGTGAACGAAAGAGAGGCCTCCACCTCTGATTTCTATTATTAAAGAAACCATCTGATTTATTACATAGACCTACTCAAAGAACTACCAGCATAATGCAACACAACATATCATTATCAAAAGCCTGAAAGCAAACCAGCTAAACAGGCAGTAAACACCAGGCTCCATACTTACTCCTTGTGTATATAGACATATTTTAGAGTGTAGATTTCACTCATTTTGCTCCGTATGTAGTCATTTGTTGAAATTTATAGAAAAACCTATATTTAGGAGTATGTAGTCATTTTGTTGAAATCTCTAGAAAGACTATACGATACTGGAGTAGCTATGAGGCAGCAAAGGAGAAGTCATGCATCCAAGAGCAAAATCACCGTAGAAGCTGCACGGGAAGTTGAAGAAGCTTTCAGCCACGGATCCGAAAAACTCCAGCATCAACACCTACATGCTCTATGATATTTGCTCGCAGCATCAACACCTTTTGACTTTCCTCCTTTATTTGCGACATTGCCCAACATTAAGTTATTTTTACTAGTACAACAGAATCATTACTGACCGTCCTTTCAAATACTATGTCATTTCTACATCTCAAAATTATCCAAAATATAGCAGCAACACCAACTACTAAAACATACACTCAAACTATCAGGTATAGATCTTAAATTGAAAGCACACTTAAAAAGGCTCCATACCAGTCTAGTAACAGAACATCTAAAGAAGAGATGCTCAATGCTCTCATCATGACCACAAAACACACAGTTTTGCTGCCTTTCCACCTCCTTAGCAAATCATCTCTAGTTAGGACATCATTCATGCCCATCAATCAAAGAATGACTCTGATATTTGGTGGAATTTTGGTCTTTCATAAAAACTTTTCTGGGAATTCATGTCTGCTACAACTAAATGTCTATAGAGAGATTTGACAGTGAATAAACCATCAACAGTCAACATCCATTTTACTAATCTTTATTATCTGACTCATGTCAGGAGAGTAGGCGCCTGTATCGTCATCTTTTCCTTTTTCTTGTATAAATTTAAGTTGGCCCAGTCCTGCATTCTTCATGCAGTTGAACACTTCGGGTGCTGATCAAGATGAATATGGGGTCTGTTTGGATGATACGACACTTTTCGTGTTTTCCGAAGCCTATTCAGGGCATGTAGGTTTTGGGTCACGTTCTGCATCATATTTGTTTGCCTCCAAAATCCCAGTCCGCATCCCCCTTCATAGTTTAAATTGCGCTACAAGGAGTCTGCATCTATGGAAATGGTCGATTCAGGCGTTCCCACAGAGCTTGTCTGAGGGGCGCCTTGAGCTTCGTGTCGCGCAAAACTAGACAAGCATACGAGTAAGCAAACAACCGAAATTTTACCCACTGTGCCATGGATTAGGAGGGCCACTCACAACCATGAGGCGTCGAGCTCCCACAAGGCGCCAGTCATCAGCATCTCCTCCGCCCAGAAGTAGATGTTTAACTTGGTTTAGCTCTTAATTTAGGTTGTGTTACGTACAATGAACCAGCAAGTTCTCTAAATCTAGTTTGAACTTCTATTTTTAAATGACCATCTGCAGAAAATTTCTATTTTGAGGAAGGGTTGGTGCAAAAAGCTATAACTCAAATTTGAGGACTTCTAATTTTTATGCGTTAAAATTTAGGGGAGGGGCTAGAGATGATCTAATATAAGTGCTAGCTCATGCAAGTCATCTAAAATCTTTATTTCAATTCGATAATTTTCCACTTAACCATCATGGGCTCATTCATTAGGATAATCAATACCAAAACTTTGCAGATACCAGATTATGAATATTTGTATTCAATGTTTGTTGTGAATGATATCTACACTAATCACACATAAAATTATTTCCCTGCTTGCTGCCTCTTAGTTGCTCTCCAATTCACTTTCCACACATCAATATTTGTTGTGCATCAGACACCATGGTCAAAAGATATTCATATCTTTGTGGCGTGCATTGTGGTTAGTGAGTTATAAAGAAAATACAATAGTCCTTGAAAAGCAACTTCTTTTACATTTCATCAACACTACTCACGAGTTTTACCTTTCTTCCATGCGTACATCCTCCAGACAAGAGGCCCCTTTATATACAATCAACAGCCAAGTATATCTACAACAGTTATATGTACACCTACAGGCCCATGTATGATGTGATAAGTCCCTCTTCCACCTTCGCGCACAAGAGCAAGCACCGAAATTAAAAGCTTCTCAAGCAGTGACAAAATCGCTTTTACCATGGGTTCGGAATCTCCATCCATGTTTCTCATCTTCACGCACAAAAACAGGCACCGGGCGCCAAAAGTAAAAGCTTCTCTAGCAGTCACAACATCGCTTCTACCGCGGGTTCGGAATCTCCCATCTATGTTCTTTCTCATGGGTGCTTCACAGCCAAGGTGCCCACCCTGGGAACATCTGGCATAACCGATCAGTGTCTACAGCGTCCTGTATGAGCTGCTGGACC